GATTAAAATCTCTTGTTTGTCTGGTTATTTAATGACTAAAATTTATCCAACGCAGCTGGTGTCGTGGTGTAGTTGGTTATCACGTCAGTCTAACACACTGAAGGTCTCCGGTTCGAGTCCGGGCGACGCCAGTTTTATTATTTCCATATTCTCAACGGTTTCTCAATTTTATTCTGGGAAGTCTGCATATTCAACCGTTTCTCATTTTTAGGGAAAGTTGTTGTCAATTTCATCAATTTTACTTTTATACTTTTCTTTGTTTGTTATTGATTCCATTGGAATCATAAATTGCTTGTTTGGTTTGCAAATATAATTTTAATTATTTGTTTGAAAAGTGTAAAAAGTGGTCCACATTCAAATGATCATATTGATTGAAATTAGTTTTTATTATTTTTTTTCTGCCTTCAATGACAGCTTTCTCCTAAAATCTTGTCTTTTTTTATGAAATCACTTTACACTATTTTCACAACTACAAACAAACAATTGAAAGTGATGAAAGCTGATATTGGGACCCACTTTTTTACACTTTCCATCCTTTTACATGGTAAAAACATACAACCAAACAACCCCTTATTCTGGGAAGCACCGAGCATGTTTTAATCAGGCTTTTGTTAGCCCTTATGGTTTGATGATGTTTTACAACCACCATTATTGGTACTAATGGCTTATTGAGTGTAAATGTAGTAAATTCATTTATCAAGCTCGTTAGTGCCATGAATGGAGGATGGATGGAATATATGCTACAACGATGATATCCAAAGGAGGAGGAGGCCAAGAGATGAAGCAACGTTATTTCAAGAGCGACAAATTCGAATAAAAGCTTCATCCGATTCAAGCTATATCAAAGCTCAAATATTGCTCTCTATATGAGGATATTAGCTTTCTTTTGTTTTTCTCTTTAATGCTAGAATGTAGGCAAAGAGTTACTGATTTTACTTGAAGCTATTGGGAATCACACACACGTTTTCATACTTGTGTTTTTAAGCGTTTTTCACAAAATACTATTTTTCACAAGTATGAGGACCTATCTGCAAAATTCTTTTTCCAAGCAGTTTGTTTTTAGTATTAAAAATATTTTATAAAATTTCAGAATTTTCAGAGGTCAAATAAATATTTTACAAATATTTTAGTTTAAGTCAAAAACCAGTCTGTGCAAATATATCAGAATGCGGTCGATCGGACCGGTCGACTGCACCTATGAGCATTCGTCACTGGACTCCAGAGAGTTTGTCGGTCGACCAGCGCGGTCGACCGAAAGCTCAAATTTTTGGTCGGTCGACCGCACCGGTCGACCGATAAAGTCTCTGTTCGTTTTCTAATTTTTCAAAGCGGCTGGGGGGGGGGGGGGCATCGGTCGGTCGACCGATGTATTTTTTCGGTCGACCGAAATTTTCTTCGGTCAACCGAAATTCTCTTCGGTCAGCCGCGATTTTTTTAAAACGGTCATTTGCCTAGAACACTGTGCTTACACTTAATCGTGTTTGGCACAGTCTGAGCTAAGGGTCTGAAAAGGAGATTATTTTCCTATTTGAGAAGATTGGGTTTTGTTTTTAAATTAATTAATTTCTTCTATTTAAACCCTAGACTTCTTCTTCTTCAGTTGCCCTAACGTTTTTCAAAAACCAGAGAGACTGCTGTCTTCCTGAGAGAAGTTCTGGTTTCTGTGTTTTCCTTCTGTTTGTGTGTGATTCACTTCCCAGCTTCAGTAATCTTTCTCTTTGCCATAGGGGCTGTGTAAAGAGAGGGTCTTGCATCTTTTTTCTTCTGCTGTGTGAGTGAGATCTTGTGTAGATCAACTGTGAGGGAGTGTGATCTGTTGAGATCAAACTGTGTAGTAAGAGAGATCGTGTGGGATCGCTGTGTAGACGAAGTTCCGGCTTCCAAACCGGGTGTGTAGTGGATTTCTCCTCGAGAGTGGGGAGCGGGGACGTAGGCCAGAGGGCCGAATCTCGTTAACACATCGCGCGTCAAGGATAACGAACTCTTAACCCTATCTCTCTTACTTTAACTGCTTTACTGTTTTGTGGTTTGCTTGTGTTTAATTTTTATTGCATATTAGAGCCTCTTGACCCTAATCACCCCCCCTCTAGAGTCCAACAATTGTTTATTTTAAATACAAAAGATCACCATGACAAATTTGATTCCAAAATTGTTGTTGGTATTTTCTTGGGTTATGCACCTCGAAGTAAGGCTTCACTAGTGGAAAAGCCAGTATTGCTGACGGCAACAACGCTGACGGGAGATTCCCGTCAGCGATGTTTATATCGCTGACGGGGATTCCCGTCAGCGAAGTTGCCGTCACAGTTGAGTTATACCCGTCGGCGATGTTATTATTGCCGACGGGAGATAAACATCGCTGACGGGAAACCCGTCAGCGATGTTTGATATATATTTCAACAGATCGCGATCGATCAGACTTTCGTTCCCAACTTAAAAAACCCTAATTTCCGTCAGCGCCGCCGCCCTCGAGGACCTTCTGGCAGCTCTGACTCGCCGCCCTCGACTCCCACTTCACCGCCGGAACCCCGAACCCCCGATCGCGAACTCCGTCAATACCCACTTCACCGCCAATACCCCTCGCGGCTGCCCTAGATCGCGAAGTCCGTCACCTCCCGCTCCTCCTCTCCGACTCCACCGCACGTGCTCCGACGCCCCGGAACCCCGAACCCCCGATCTCTCGCCGGAGCTCGCCGCGGCACCGCCCCCGCTAAACTCGCAGAGAGGTATTTGTAAATTTTTGGGTATTGTTGTAAATTTTTTGTAATTTTAGGTATTGTTGTAAATTTTTAGGGATTTTTGTTGTAAATTTTTGTAAATTTTTAGGTATTTTAGGTATTGTTGTAAATTTTTAGGGATTTTTGTAAATTTCTTTGATGTAATTTTAGGTATTGTTGTAAATTATTAATTTAGCCAATAATAATGATACAATAATCCAGGGGTCTATCTGTAACAATAATAACAAAACTAAATCTTGTTTACACTACCATGCACTCCTGCTCTTGAACTATCTTATCATTTGTAATGAAGAGAAGTTCTAATGCGTCATTACGGCTCCCCAGGGGCTACACTACTAGATAATCTTCTCGCTGTTTAGTTAAGCATATATATACACAATAAACAATTTACAAGATTTTATAACTCTCCTTAGAACATGGATTTTGAGAATATGGGTTCCCAATTTAATAAAAAAATCGGTTTCGCATACATCTATGTATACACTTGTGTTATTATGTAAGCATTTATCTTCCACTACGTATTAAAAAAAAAAGGGAAAAAAAAAGAGCCAGCTATGTGAAATATAAGGGAGAACCATTAATATTTATGTGGGTGTACATGTCAAGTTTATTTTTAGATATTAACCTTGTAAATACTTATATTTCTCCCTCAACTTGTGATTGTTACATTTGATTATGAGTTCTACAACTAAAGGAGGGTTTTCCAATAACACTTAAACTTAAGGAGGTTTTCTTATATTTTGAAATATAAGGGGGGTTTCTTGATAGTTGTCCAAAGTTAAAGGAGGGTTTATGGTATTTAGCCTTAGCAATACAGATACTTCCATCACAAGCTAGTGCACTCTTAGTAATGGTCCTAATCTTCCAAAGTTTTTGATATTCATGTGATAATAGGGCGCAGAAACCTCTCTATCAGTGATTTTTTTAAATTATTTTGTTGTAATTTTAGGTTTTGTTGTTGTTTCTGATCTGATATTTGATTTTTTGCAATTGCAGTGCAGGAGATCCAAGCGGGTCTTACGTTTTCTTGGATTGCAGTGCAAGAGATCCAAGCAGTAATTTCTTGTCCTTTTTTGATTCTTCAGTTCAAAATTGGGTTTTCTGATATTTTGAAAATTAAGGGGGGTAATTTCTTGTCCTTTTTTGATTCTTCAGTTCAAAATTGGGTTTTCTGATATTTTGAAAATTAAGGGGGGTTATCAGAAGTCGTTACCCCTAGTTTCCCGTCTAATATTGTTGGATGTGAGTCTCTTCTGATATAAACTCACGCAATTCTAGTTGAATGTGAAAATAGATGTGAGTCTCTTCTGATATAAACTCACGCAATTCTAGTTGAATGTGAAAATACTTTTTACATCTAAATAGAATAACGTGATTTATATTAGGAGTATGCTCTACATGCAATAATTATTAGATCTGTCCGGAGAGGATTCCCCTTCTCGTACAGGTTAGGAATACAGTAGTGTATCATCTATCTTTGTATACTTTACGCATTTTTATTCCTACAAAATTTCGATAACACGTACCGCATTGTTCTCCGTGTACAATAAGCGTATGTTGTTTTGCGTTTCGATCTATAATCGATCTATTATCGATGATTGATACGCATTATAACATCCGCACAGTATACTCGGAGAACAGCGGGTAGGTGCTGCCGAAATTTTTAAGAAATAAAAACGCATAAAAATGATGAAGGTAGTTGTAGACACTACTATATTCCTAATGGGATAGGTCCATTTCCTATGACAGCCGTTAAATTGTCTTATTTCAAATATGAGCGTTAGATTTTACTCCCACATAATTTATGTTCTGGTAATTTTCCCTCCGAGATTATTATAATTAAAATTTCCCTGATGTCGTGAAGAAAGTTAATATCATGCAACCTTTAATTTGATGCGTTACTAATAAAAATTCACATTACCTAATTATGCTTAATATCATACAGATGAGGATAGTTCCCGACAAATCATGGATCGATATTCCTCGTATTGATAGATGGATGGATAGTCGATATAAAGATGGAATAAATCAATTCATACAATACGCGTTGGCAGACCCACGGAAGTTAAATATCAATTCATACAATACGCGTTGGCAGACCCACGGAAGTTAAATAGTGATGTCGTGTATTGTCCCTGCTGTTGGTATAAAAATAGGGCGTTGGTGGATAAAAGTGATTTACAAAAACACTTAATATCCGGATTTCATGAGGAGTACAAATATTGGACGTTTCATGGGGAAGGATGCCTTGAAGAAATGGAACTGATGGCGGATACCGGTACTTCCGGTGGGAGAATAGATGATACGAGAATAGATGATACACATACGATGCTCACGGATATGTTAACAGTTCCTAATATAGATCAATCTGAAGATGCCGAGGATGCTGACGAGTCGGGAAATGCTGGAGGCGTGACTGATCATGAGGAGCTAGCGCAGATAATGAAATTAATTAACGACAATGAAAATGATCTGTATGAGGGTTGTACCGAGTTCACCAGGTTATCATTTATGCTGCGTCTTTTGCGTATAAAGTCTCTTAGCGGAATGGCGGATAAATATTTTAATATGTTGCTTGTGTTGCTGAGAAAAGTCATTCCAAATGGAAAAGATAGCATACCAGAAAATTATGATAACGCAAAGAAGATTGTTTCCGTTATAGGACTTGATTACAATAAAATCGACGCATGCCCTAATGATTGTATCCTCTACTATAAGGATAACAAAGATCTTCAGGAGTGTCCAATTTGTGGAGTATCACGGTGGGTACAACGCAAAAATTATTCAACACATGGGACAACAAGGTCTATGCTTAAGCAAAAGAAGATTCCAGCAAAGGTCCTGCGTCATTTTCCCTTAATACCAAGGCTAAAACGGTTGTATATGAATAAAGACACTGCTAAGCAAATGAGGTGGCACATGGAAGAACGTACTGATGATGGTAAAATCAGACATCCGGCTGATGCAGAGGCGTGGAAGCATATGGATAGAACTTTTCCTTGGTTTGCGAATGAGTGCAGGAATGTTAGACTAGGTTTGTCTAGCGACGGATTCAACCCATTTTGGATAATGAGTTCTGGTTGGTCTACATGGCCTGTGGTATTAACGCCTTACAACTTACCACCTTGGCTTTGCATGAAACAACCGTATATGATACTTTCATTATTGATACCAGGCAAGCATGCACCAGGCAATGACATAGATGTGTTTTTAGAACCGCTAATTGATGAGTTAAAACAACTCTGGACTGAAGGGGTTATGACTTATGATACTCATGCAAAGCAGTCTTTCAGACTACGTGCTATTTTACTATGGACAATTAATGATTTTCCAGCCTATGCGAATCTTTCAGGTTGGTCTACAAAGGGAACATATGCATGTCCAGTGTGTGGTCCAGAATTCAAAGGTCTTTATCTGCAGCACAGTCGAAAGTTTTGTTATTGGTTTAATAGAAGGTGGTTGAACATAAAACACAAGTACAGAACCAAAAAATGGAGCAAGTTTTTTGATGATACTGTTGAGAAGATAGATGCTCCGCGTCCATTACGTGGGGATCAGATTGTACATTTGCTTGAGATGTTCCCTGCCGTCAGGTTTGGAAAGAAGCGCTATTCGAAAGAAGATTTACTTGGAGTAAGGAACTTGCGTATTAACAAAAGGATACCAAAACGAAAGAGACAAGCACAAGTGGTGAGTGATGGGGCTGAAGTCGTAAAATTACCTTCAGGATGGACAAAATTCAGCAATTTTTTTCAACTCCCCTATTGGAAAGAGCTAAAAATACGTCACAACTTGGACGTTATGCACATTGAAAAAAATATTTGTGATAATCTTTTGTCCACACTGTTGCAAGATGCTAATAAATCAAAGGATGATCTACGAGCTCGTCGAGATCTAACTGCATTGAACATTAGAGAGGAACTGCAGCCAAAAAATGTCGAAAACGACCGATTAGAGTTGCCTGCGTCTCGTATTATAATGTCGAAAGTTGAGATGCAAACATTTTGTCAAGTCCTCAAATCAATAAAGTTACCAGAGGGTTACTCCGCAAACATATCGAACTATGTCCAGGTGCAAGAAAGGAAAATATTAGGGCTTAAAACTCATGATTATCACGTGCTTCTTCATCAATTGCTACCTGTGGCACTACGCAGTACTATGCAGAATAAAAAAACAGTGAAGGTTATTATTGATTTTTGTGGATTTTTCAGAAAGCTTTGTTCCAAAGTTATAGACGCCTGTGACTTTGAGAAACTTGGAGAAAATATTTCTGAAACAATGTGTGAAATGGAGATGCTCTTTCCTCCATCTTTTTTCACAATAATGGTTCATCTTACACATCATCTCGCGGAGGAGGCTGCAATAGCAGGACCAGTCCATTATCGTTGGATGTATCCAATAGAGAGGTTAGTATTTAGAAAAATTTAATCGATCCACATCAATATTTATATCTATTAAATGTAAATTTCTTTACATCTATATCTGATTAATATTCCTTTTTTAGATATTTGGGTTCAATGAAGCGTCAATTGCGTAACAGAGCTCGCCCAGAAGGTTCAATAGCTGAAAGTTACGTGAGAAGCGAGTGTCTCTTATTTGCCTCTCGTTATATGAGAGGGGAACAAACTGAACTTCAAGCACCCGTTGATAATAAGGAGTACACAGTTCTCTATCCTCGCGGGCTGAACAAAAATTATTCTAACATATTGTTAGATCAAGCGCATGCATATGTTATAAATAATCTTGAAATATTCTCGGAGTACCGGAGGTAAAATATCTAAAAAGAATTTTTAATACCATTTACTCTTTAATTTCTATTTTGACAAAATTTTTATTTTGACAATAATAATTAAATTTGACAATAACAATGGGCTAATAACTTCAGCTCATACCTTGGATGTTTGATACGGAGGAGTGATAATGTGAATCCCTA